GGCCGGAATTAAATGAGGCCCATTAACCCCGGCCCTAGACGGCCCCAGCACAACACCCTGATCCCCAACACCCTTAGCGAAGGGCCTACGAAGTTTAAGAGGTACCAGCATTTGTGCCCCCGGCGGCACACGCACTGTTTTTACGACGAACGCCGGTACCGTCGCGAACGCCGTCCGAGTCGCTACAGGGGAAGGCAGGAACGCCATACGTCGCCCCGACGGAAGCTCAATGCATCCTTGGTCGATCAAAATACGAATTGGCATCCTGCCCAAGAAGTCCGTCCCCAGCAGGCACGGAACTGCCAGTGAGGAGGAGACAAAAATCGGCCCCGACAATTTGATGTCCCCGATAGAAATTTGCGCTCGAATCTGTCCCACGATGCCGAGAGAGCCCCCGTTAGCGGCATAGAAAGGGACATTAACCGGTAGCAAAGGACGGCTCTGCACCGGTAGAATATTGTAAATTAGTTCCGAAATAATTGTCGCCGATGCCCCTGTATCGACTATGATGCGTACCTCCACCCCATCAATGTAACCGACCACGGCCGACGATCCCGACGCCGCGGCCACCACGCGATGGGCCAACACGGACCACCGCTCGGGCTCGATTTGAGTCCCCGCAGTGATCCGCGCCGGTCCATCGCAGCGCCCCACCGGCCCCCCGTTCGTTACGGTGCGAGAGTGTGCGACAGGTGGGTGCGTTGGCCAAACATGTGAGGTGCCGCGACTCGCCGGATCATGGTGCTGGAGCTTGGGAGGAGGAAGAGGAGGGCCGGCGTCCTGTCGAGGCGTCGTCCCCCGCTGTCGAGGAGAACGGCACCCCGAGGCGACATGGCCCCGGATGCCGCAGTTGAAGCACCGCGGGAGCGCCGATGGAGACGATGGACGGTCGAAACGCCTCGGCCCGTCCCGACCCGGCCGCGCCCCCGTCGTCTGTTGCCGTCGATGGTCGACGGCATAAAGTTCTTCTGACGGAAGGGTGGCTGCAGCCACCGCACGCCCAGCCGATGCCCTGTTTGCCTTTCGCCGCTGCTGCAGAAGGTTGGCGTGGAGGAGTCGCGCAGCCTGGAGGGAGGTCATTTCTGCATCCCCTTGTGCGATGACGACGATGTCGAGGTCGTCCGCCAAGAGGAGGATCTTCTCCGCGACCATTGCGTCCACGCCGTCGTCGTCCATGCGGGGAAAGGCTGTTTTTGCCAGCGCCAGAAGACTTGTCCGGAAAGCCAGAGGCGACTCTTTTTCACCCCGCCTGCGATCGTAGAACTGCTGACGGCATTCGGCTGAAGGTCCATAGACCCCGGCCAGCAGCTGTAGCGCCATTGGTAGTGTAGCCCGCTTCTCTTTTGGCGCCGACGTGAGTGCGGCGAGCGCGTCCCCATCGAGGAGCGCCGGCAGCGCGCAAAGGGCCTCCTCGTCGGACCACCGCGCCATCTCCTGATGGGCGAGGAAGCGTCGCCGGAAGCCGCCCCAGTCACCCTCCGCACCGATGAATTCCTTCAGCGGGGGCAGCCTTTGGTGAAGCGCAGCGGTCGATGTGGACTCCCGCAGGTTGCTTTCACCTCCCTTTGGCGGTGCCTCGGCGCGACTGGCCGATGGCATCGCCTGTCGCGGCAGCGATGACGCATCCTTCGGCTGCGATGACGCTGCAGCCCCGGCGACGGCGATGTCGGAGCCGATGTCTAAGCTGGCCACGCCCCGAACAGCCGCGGCGTCCATGGCGGGAAATTCAAATTGTGAAGTCGCTGAAATGGCGGGAAAGTGCTCCGGCCGCCGGTTCTCCTCGCCCTGCGGTGGACCACCAGCCCCCAACCGCGTAATGCCTTCCAGTGTGGCGGCAGCGGCATAAAGTAGCTCCGCCAGCCGTTCGTGAGCCAGTCGTAGTGCATCTGGCTGCGGCCCCTCTCCATGCTGACGTCCCGGTGAGAAGGCGCCAGGCTCCGGCTGCACCCCATCTTGTTGCTCTGTCTCGGGCTCGGCGATCTCCGCGGCGTCCTCCTCTTGTGGTACCCTGGTCCGAGCTGTATGGCGCGTTTCCATTTTTACCACTTCTGACGCCAGATGAAGTACCCGTCGAGGACGCTTGACAACGGAGTTGAGGCACACGTATATTTATTTAACAAGTTGCCAGTACAGGACAGCCCTAGAGGGGGTAGCGGCCCCCTCACCCGTATAACTCAGGGAATACCCCTAGCTATCCATAGCCTATCCCCTGAGTCCTCCACTAAGAGCTAGGGGAGGCTGTCTGGCCCGACACTGGTAATCGGGCTCGGTACCCGGAGTCCCAGAGCACTGGCTCTGGTTCACGGGACCACGCCACTGGCTCGAGCCTGATCCCGTGGGGCCCTGATAAGGGCGGCGATCAGGGGGAGTCCAGGGCTCTAGCTACGACGTCTTCCGACTTCTTAGCTTAACTATAACATAACTGACTAAGCCCATATAACGACCCCTTTTTATACCCAACCCTCCTTGAGGGGTGGGGCCCCGGGGGATCGTAACGCCGAACCAGCCCCCCCCCAGGGTGTCTGGCTCGGACGTCGCAGAGGGCATCTCCCTGTGCACACACGTAGCCCCGCCCACTGTGTTTCTTTCCCATAGGCTGCCATGCATAACGGCCCTCTCTCCAACGTCCCTACACTACTATACAGTCGCTAGATGTAGCAGGTACCACCACAGTCGGTATGCACTGCTGTAATCATAGCAGGTACCATCACAGTCAGTATTCACTGCTGTAATCATAGCAGGTATCACCGCACGGGACTAGGCCTCACCATGCCACTCTGTCAGGTGAGTACTTTGTGCTATAGAGTCGATAAATACTGCAATAGAGTAAGCATGTACTACTGTAGTGATAGCAGGTACCACCACAGTCGCTATGCACTGCTGTAATCATAGCAGGTACCACCACAGTCAGTATGCACTGCTTTAATCATAGCAGGTACCACCACAGCATGCACTGCTGCAGCCCTGTGAGCCATGTGGCTCTTGAGCCGGGGGCAGCCGCAACAAACAAAATATGAACACAGAACATGCCAAAGCGAGAACGTGCAACAGAAACATCCTAGAATAAACCAGAAAATATTCCTAAAAAACGTATTCAAACGCTGTGTGCAAAAATCACAATGTGGTGCAAGCCAACAACAACAATCATAAGACAATTTAGATGAACCATATGTTTTTGAATTACCAAAATAAAGCTATAAAAACAATTTAACAACAGTAATCATAGGAACTGTGATAAAAAAAATTAAGAATAAACGATATACATAACACGTACGACAAAACCTGCAGCGATAGCTGGCAGCACGACACTCCCAGTGTATGATGTGTGAGTGAGTGTATGATGTGCGAGTCAGCGTATGATGAGTGAGTCAGTGGATGATGCATAGATACACTATTGCTTATATCCAAGTACAACAGCCTTAGAGATTCTGAAATGTAAGACAATTCTCCCCTGTTGTGTTGTATTCTCTCTATGAATAATAATTCGCTAGCTTTGTGTAGTATTTGATTAGCTTTAACAGACTTTATGTGATGTATTATTTTAACTGCGTTTGGTATTACCTTCGAATCTCTGCACCTTTTGAGGAACGCCAGTGACGATATTAATTTCATCCGCTTGATTCAGAGCTTCTCCAATTTTCTAGTTTTGAGAAAAGTATCCTCCCCATAGAGGTTAGTCAATTTAACACGTAGGCTTTCGCGACCAATATTCATAATAGTTTTTAAATCATAGCAGGTACCACCACAGTCAATATGCACTGATGTAATCATAGCAGGTACCACCACAGTATGCACTGCTGCAGTGAAAGCAGGTAGCACCACAGTATGCACTGCTGTAATCATAGCAGGTACCACCACAGTCAATATGCACTGCTGTTACATTTTTAAGAGTAGTTTTGAAATATTTTTAAGACCCGGGCAATGCCGGGTACTTCCTGCTAGTACTTTATATATGTCGAATGCGCAGCCGTGCCGAATTATCCACAATTACGAATGATCAAATACCGAAATAACAAGGTTTTACTGTATACTAATGATTCGTTTTGACATCCAGAGAAAGAGGTAAACCACCAGAGATTCAATTTTAGAAAGACATTTTTGCAAATCATTTTTTACATGTTTTTATTGTAACGCAACACGAGCCTGTTACAATACGCCATTCGAAAAACGGGGGGAGAGGGGGGACAGGCAACCCGAGTTCGGCGCAACAGGGCCCTCCCTATGAAGGGGAAGAATTTGGCTCACTGCCCCACCCAAGTGAGGAGTTATATGGGGGAGGGGAAAGGTGGAAGGGTAGAAGGAGACACGCACATGTGTGACCTCGAGATGAACACCCCACCGAATAATGCTCCGTTCCTACCCATTCCCAGCCGAGAGGCGCAGCCCTTCCCATACATCCATCCTTACCTCCTGACCTTTCGTAACTTATTTTCATCAAATGTTTTGTGGGTTGGGCTCCTTGGCAAACCTCAGTAAACAAATTAAACCTCCTTGTAAAACCCACCTTAAATCCACCTCATGAGAGCCAAAATTTTTACCTCCAAGTTTAACTCTTTTGCTGAACCCCATCTTTAAATCCCTCATTAAACCGCTTTGGTGTACTCCCTCATTAAATCTTGTCTTTAGACTTTCCAGAAAATCTTATTTGTTGAACATTCTCAAACCCCCTCAATTGAAAGTATATTTTGTTTAACTAGGTGAGTACTCAAGATTCCAGGATGAAACTCAATTGCAATAGTGACTTGGAGCATTGGTCTGCCTGTAGAAGACGATTGCTATGTTTAATCCCAATTGAGTAATTTGCAAACAACTTTTCGACTTTGGCAAAATGGCATCATGAAACTGGCACACATTGGCCTCCTCTTGCAGAAGGACAATCGGAGGACCTTTAACGTTCCGCAACAGGTGTTAACAAGGCGCCACTGCTTGCCTGTGTCGCGTCGACATTTAACACCCGTCGCTGCATCCCCCTCCATTGGCGCGCGTGACCCTCGCCCTAGGCACACACTTCCTGCGGGGGCTGAATGGCGCCCGCCAGCCGTGGGGACGCCCAAGCGGGCGGCGCCGCTTTGCGCTGCGCCCGGCGAATCCCACTGAGGAGGGGCTGGCGAGCGTGCACAGCGTGTTGCACCGCCGTGACCCGCTGCTGTGGCGCGCCGCGCTGCTCTACTACGCTGTGAGCCGTGCCGCCCACCTCTCCTTCTCCGCGCTCTTCGCGGAGCTCGGCCGCTTCGTGCGTGACCCATCCACACGATGGGAGTATTGCCTCCGCGCGAAGCGCGGCCAGGAGGACACCTCCGTCCCGGGTGAGCATCGGCATCGTGTTAAAGTCGGGCGTGTGAGACGCGACGAATCAGGGTGCACTGGTGGCGCAGCGGTTAGTGCGTTGACTGATGAACTCGTGTGCATATTGTGTAGGGCGGTGGCAATGGTGGTTATTTTGCACTGTGCTGTGAATGTGGTGACCTGAGTTAGATTACTGGCTATGGCGAACAGTGGTATTTACATATTGATTTAAAGCTTTCGTGACTGCAGGAATTCATACTCTGTGGGTCTTTCGGTAAAGTCACGTAGATAGAAATATAATAGATCACGACGTTTCGATCACAACACAGGCATTCGTCTTCATGTGAGAGAGAGAAAGCTACTGAAACAAGGTCTTATATAGGCCTGAGATGGGAGTCCCCTCAGGGTGAGAGGGTGGGGCTAGAGATGGTCTCCTTGAGGCTGTGGAAGTGGCCATTGTATTGTGAGAGATTAGCATGTCAATGATGCATCGGTGACAGAGCGAGTAGGACATCCAGCCTGTCAATACAAAGACATCCAACCGAGTAATGCAAATCCGAGAGTCAGCTAACATCGGCAGGAAGGATGGAAACATCAGAGCCAGTTGTGACTTAAACTGGCTAATAACATCCTTCCAATCATTGCTCAGTTTGTACCCATCTTCTCGGTTGAAATTGTGTCTGTGTTTATATATCTGGATGGCTTCATGAACAAATCTTTGATGATAGCCAGTGGGTTTGCAGAGTACCTTCGTCTTGGAAATTTTTATTTCATGTGAGCTCACAGCATTAAAACAATGATCAGCCACGGCCGAGGTATTGGTCCTACCGTGTTTCAGATCTGTTCACGAACATGGTCCGAGACAGGTACATAAAATTTGTGATCTGATCCCATCTGTGAAGGATGTGATCCCTGACATGCAATACCCCGGTGTCTACAAACCTACAAACTAAGCTGTGTCTGCGGCAGTAGTTACATTGGGGAAACTAAACATCATTGTTTTAACGCTGTGGGCTCACATGAAATTGATTTTTCCAAGACGAAGGTACTCTGCAAAACCACTGGCTATCATCAAAGATTTGTTCATGAAGCCATCCAGATATATAAACACAGACACAACTTCAACCGAGAAGATGGGTACAAATTGAGCAATCATTGGAAGGACGTGATTAACCATATAAGGTATTAACCTGCTGTGATGTTTCCATCCTTCCTGCCGATGTTAGCTGACTCTCTTGAGTTGCATTACTAGGTTGGATGTCTTTGTATTGACAGGCTCTGTCACCGATGCATCATTGACATGCTAATCTCTCACAATACTTTGGCCACTTCCACAGCCTCAGGGAGACCATCTCTAGCCCCGCCCTCTTACCCTGAGGGACTCCCATCTCAGGCCTATATAAGACCTTGTTTCAGTAGCTTTTTCTCTCCCACCTGAAGATGATTGTCTGTGTTGCGATCGAACGTCGTGATCTATTATTTTTTAATCTACGTGACTTTACCGAAAGACCCAAAGAGTATAGTGGTATTTACCATCTGAACTGATCCTGAGCACCCCTTTCACCAACCTGCACCGACCTGCTTGGTGAAGTAACCCTTATTACTGACATGGTGTGCAGAGACCTTCATCCAGCAGTGGGTTGACACAGGCCTGACATTTAAACTCCATGAATTGTTACATGTGTAGTGTCAGTGATTCGGAGACAAGGTTTGTAGGAGGCACCTTCTCTATTCTTAACATTCACGGTCTCGTCCACACACTCTCCACAGTTGCTTAGCCTACCCTGTACACAACACCAGCCGTCTAACACTGACGGCGCTGACTGAGATAGCCAACAACTAACCTTTCAACGCAATATCTCGTGAAGATGGCAGCGACGACGAGACGAGTCCACTCCCAGAACCTGAAGCCTTGAGCTCCCACTCTCGGCTCCTTTTATCCTAGCAGCGCGGCCTGGCTCCGCCCTGACCGTGCCTCCCTTCTCAAAGCCACTAGTAGGTTCCAGGGGCCTCCAGATGGGGTCATCCGTGTCCACCACAGTTGCCGCCGTTGTCCACCAGCCGGCGCTATTACACTACACATGTGTAGTGACTAACTCGGAGACAGTAAGACTTGAAGGCACTTCTTTTATTTAACGAACACCATCGGCGATAATACACACCCTACGTGGGTACACACTATTACTGTTGCTAGCCTATACAAAACACTAACCGTCTAATACTGACAGTGCTGAATGGAGACAGCCAACAACTGGCTAGCAGCGCAATATTGAGTGAAGACAGCAGCGGCGATGGCGACGAGATAACAGCGACGATGGTGACGACGAGATGGTAACGACGACTATCTTGAACAGCATGACGGGGATCCTACTTCCAGCAACAGCCACGAGGTCCCTCACAGGGGCCCTTCTTATACTCTCAGCGTGGCCTCGCTCCGTCCCGGCCACGCTCCCTATCTGGGACCTGCTAGCGGGTTCTGGAGGCTTCCCGATGGGCCCCCCTCTGTGACCTTTCCCCTAGATGTCCCCCACTCGTGTCTATCGAGGCCTGCTGACGTGGGTATTGCCATACACCGAAGTTACCCTTTTTTGCTAGCAGCCAGCGCTATGCCACTACACATGTATACAGTCATTTCTCATTTAACGTGGTAGATGCGTTCCTGAAAAGTGCCTGGTCAAATGAAAAGCGAGTTAAGGGAAATACATTTTTCCATAAATAATATAACGATAAAGTTTCATGAGATACGTGGTTGTTTAGTAACTGCAGCTACATACTATGAACATTCCTTTCCTTTGTTAATGCTACTCCCTGCACCCCCCCTTGGTGCTGTTGATCCTGCATAATGCATGGGCATAATATGACTATGAAACCCCCCCACCCACCTCCTACGCATTTCCCATGAATATGCTAAATTCCTCTTCATATGCACATTCTTTTTGTTAAGGCGCTCTTCCACCTCCAACCCAGCTTATATATAAGCTCCTAGCTTGGTAGTGTCTCATTCTTCACCTGAAGACGGCTGCTTGCGTTGTAGCCGAAACGTCGTGAGAATTATTTTATTATGTTTTATTTTTATTATTTTATTAATTCCCTTCTACGTGACTTTACCGAAAGAACCAAGAAGATGAATCCCTGCAGTCACGAAAGCTTTAAATCGAAATCTAACCTATAAAATTATTTTTTTTGTCTGTCCGTCTGCGCACGTGCGCTTGCGAGGGATTTGGCTCTCAAACGGTGGGGTTTACGTAAAAAAGAAATTAGCCAGGTCGCACGCCGTAAGCCCCGCAGTGGGTAAGCGCAATTTCCTTTTCCCGTTCATCACCTTAAAATGAGTTCCATTAGCGATTTTTCGTTATCTATATATATAAAATCGAAAATCTGTGTGTCTGTCTGTGTGTGTGTCTGTCTGTCTGTGTGTGTGTCTGTTTGTCTGTGTGTCGCCGGACCATACACAGTTTCATTGGACGAAATGTGAGGGATTTGCGAGATGCGATTGGTCCGTTTGGTTTTCCACGGCGGTTGCCCCTGGCAATGGGTAGCGACGCATTCGCTGCGGGGTGGGCGCCATTTTTAATTCCCGTTAAAAATATGCGCACGCATTAACACGCGACTCTGAGGTAAATTCATCAAAGTTTCACGTCCTCTTCACTCCCCCCCCACCCCAATGTGTTCAATTACTATTATAGAGTCGGTAGATAATAAAATTATAGCGATTAGACAGTATTATTGTAGCGCGGGGGGGGGGGTTAACGGCCCCAGTACCCAGCCTCAGCCGGGTGGGCAATCTAGGCGAGGCCGGAGGCTCTGCACGGTACTAGGCCTCGACACCCCACCACACTATAGGCCGTACATATTACTGCACAGCGGCCGAGGAGATCGTGGCTGGGGGGGGGGGGGCAGGGGTAGCAGCCCATCTGTGTATATATGTGTAATGTAGTAACTTGTCGGGAGACGACTTTACGGGTAGCACACTCTTTATTAACACCAACTTATATTACACAGGTGGCTAACTGCAGCCTAACCCACGGGGTTCCCCTGGCTACACCCACACGGGCTCTTACGCCCTGTAGCTTCTCGGAACCCACCCGGCTGGGGTGTCCGTCTCGACTCTGGGTCCCACAGCCTCGTCCCACATGGACATCAGACCACGGGTCCCACAGTCTCGCCTCCGAGCCACACAGGGTCCCGGCCCTTACAAGGACAGCGGGACTAGGGGTCTCAGGGCCCTACCTCTTCAACTCCGTCTTCGATCTTCAACTGGTTATCAACTCCCCGAGTGCTCCCGCGCGTCCCCCTTTATAGTCCTCCATGCGGACGTCGCTGAGAGCACCCATCCCAGTTGACCAATCACTGCGTGCTGCCCACGATCCTATTTCCCACCTTGTGTCAGCGCGCACAACCACGCACCCCGCGCTGCCCCGTGATCCATCACTGTCGGCGCGCGTCAACACCACCACACTTGATGTAGCCACACCCGGCGCGCTCACACACACGCCCCCCCCTTGTCAGCGCGTACCGCCACTACATATCTAAGGTTATTAAGAAATATATTTTTCACCCGGGCAACGCCGGGTACTTCTGCTAGTTTATATAGTTTTGCCGTTCGGCGTGGGACAAAGCACGCAATTGCGCATGCGCAAAACGCTGACAGGAGTTGCAACTAGCAATGCACACACGATCGCTAAAACGTTCATTTGCGTTAACAATGCTTAAAAAATATACACACAACGCTGAGGTTCATTCTTCACAGTCTTATGTCCTCTTCTCCTCCCCAATGTGTGCAGTTACTGCTAGAAAGTCCGTAGATATTAATATTATAGCGCTTACATAGCATTATTGCAGCGTGGGTGGGGAGAGTGGCCCAGCCTAGCAATGTGTCACCTCCTCCGGCTGGGCAATCTAGGCGAGGCCGCAGGCTTTGCATTGGACTAGGCCTCACCACGGCAATATACAGTACAATTTTATTGACTCTTTCGCTAAGAACTCTGGTTCATTGTTTACTATTATGAAACTAATAAGT